CCCACCCCACCCCCCCCCCCATTTCTTCCCCTTTACTTGTGCAAGGACAGCAACTAACAATGCAAAAATGAATCCAGACCTGAGTACAGTATGTGTGTTTGAGAGATCATTTGCCATAGTTAGTCTATAAACTTGCACCCTTCCATAAAAGCCAGCATTTGTTTTTGAGAGTATGTGGTTAAATCCATCAAGCTGGAAACATTGGAAACAGTTTGCAGAAGCAAAGGCAGCCAAGTCGTTTCATTTTGGAGCATGGGCCTCACTCTGCAGGCAGCATGCTCGCCTATAATCTGCCAAACTTTCTGACTTCATCAATACTCTACGTCAATACTGCTGTTTACTCCTACAGTAGAGAGGTAGATGCAGTGCTGTCTACCCTCCTGGGACATCAGGCTTTCATCCTTATGCTCAGGCTGAGGTGTATACAGCTGCTGTTATTGACAGAAGCTGTTTGGACTCAGATAATACTTGACTGAGTAGCTACTGATGTTGACTCAATGCACAGGTAACATTTTGAATACAAGTACATTTAGGTGTTTTGCTGTATCTTGCACTCAACAGTATCACAATTCCAATATAATTATAAGTTATGTGTTTACGTGGTATCTATTTCTGACAAATCCAAATTTATTCAAGTACATTAAATTTCAGTAAATGTATTCATACAGTTAGTAAACAATGTGTTACAAACACAATAAGGATAATTTGTCACAGTTTCCTACTATTCAATATAATGCTGAATTTATTGAACTGCAATTTACAATTTTCACAGTTGATAAAACTCTTTCATTTTTCTGAAATGAAAACTCATTTAACTGAGTTAATATGTCTCTTTACTGATTTGCAGCTCAGCACAACGGTTATTGTAATCTCACATCCAAAATGCACAAGAGGCATTCAGTGTTGCATGTCCCGATTAGGAGTGTTCTCAAGTTTAGGCTTTGTTTCTCTTTAGCTGAAGATGTATCAGAATTTAATAAATTGCAGTCTAATTTACAGTGAGTGTGCATTTTGTTGGGGCTTGAACATTCTGTAAACGTAATAGTTTTTGCAGCAGAGTGTAACTGTGTGCATGAACTGTAAATACACAGTTTCAGTGATGGTTGACCTTGGGAGAAAAAAAGTATTTGTGAATTTAGAAGGGTGTGATCTTTGATGTATTGTGTGTCAAAGCTATGAAAAATGATCAGCATCCTAGTTCACATTGACCTCTGTTTTCTGGACTCAGTATTGAGAAAGATATGTTACAATTTGTAGAAAGAAAAAGCTCTAATAGTTCTGTATGGACACGTAATTATAATTTAAAAAGCTCTTGCCTTCAGTACCTTCCGCTAGAAGGCAATGGTAGTTTAATATGATAGTACTATGACATTTTTCTGCTAATGCTCCCAATATTTAATGCAGGCTGACATTTTAATATAACGTTCCTGAAATGAGAATACAGTTTCAAACTTTCTTTTCATATTGGAACACATGATGTGGTTTGACTATCAGTTTTCACATTGTGTCTATCGTTTCATCTCTCCTTTCTCTCTCCACAGGCTCTTCAGGAGGCAATGATGAGCATGCTGTGGTGTTCGGGGAAGGGCGATGTTATCGATGACTGGTGTCGGTGCGATTCTAGTGCTTTTGGCACAGATGGCCTGCCCACCTGTGCCCCACTTCCCCAACCTATGTTAGTAACTGAGAATAAAATTTAATTTCTCCAAACTTGTCACTGTCAGATGGCTTGTGGTAAATACCATCCATCATTTTACTGACTCTGTCTTCTGCTGCACTAATCTCCAATAATGTGCCACCAAGCTGCATGTGTACACAGAATTTAATTATGATCAAATGTTACGTTGGATGGATTACTGAACAAGCCTACCAGGCACTAGACTAAAGCCACTGTGCCTATAACAACTCTTGTCTTGCTGGAAAGTCACAGAACTTATTTAAAAGATACAAACTCAAAAAGACATGCAAATAACTACAGTCATATGCTAAACAATCAAAAAGAGAAGCAAAAGGACTATAAAAACATACAAAGCAGCAATAATAGAACTAATAAGAAGAGGTCTGGACCTTACTTTGTAAAGTTTCCTGAGACAACTTCTGTAGTGATTTGGTGCTATACAAATAAAACCGAATTGAACCGAATTGAATTGAATAAAGACATGTAAAATGACCACAAAGAGACAATAACAACTACAGTATATAGAAACACAAAATCCATCCACAATCCAACAGTCTGATTAATTGCTTCTGTCCAGTTGGGGTGTACCAGTCAGTTACTATATTTCTTGACTGGCATGTAGCTGCAGATGCCCTCTCCAGAGTCAGTCAAGTTTTATTATTAATTTATCTCTTGACAGAAGAGTGTGTGATATAGCAGAATATGTTTCCATTGGATTGTAGTTTTGTGTGACACGAGCTAACATCTTTCCCTCACTGGTTTTACATCTCTGTCACTCTGTTGCCAGGCTAAAGCTGTCTTACACCTACGAGCCCAGCAGCTCATTAGTCATCATGGAATGGAACCACACTGAGCCGCCAATCGGCGCCCGGATCGTAGATTACCTCATCAGCCAAGAGAAGGTGACGGAGCGGACTGACCACTCCAAAGTTGAGACAGGTATGTTTCCCAAGTGCTGCCTAAAGCAAGAGTTTGACCACTGATAATAAGTATGAACCAACAGGTAGACAAATGTGAACAAGACTCAAGTCAACGGGCAACCATTCGTTGGGCAACAAATCAGCCCTGTGAATCAACTGGCCTCAGTTTGTATGGGCAGCTTTTGGCTAGTGTTCATTATTTATGCTGGCTCAAACCTCAAACCTGCTAGTTTGTCACACACCATGCAACCACTAAAGACAAATTTGTATTTATTTATTCAACCATCTGGAAGGAACCTGGACCCGAGGTTAAAAAGAAGGCATAGCAAAAGGGATTAAACTCTACCTTGTTTACCCCTGTGTCAGAATTGCTTTTGTCATAGGAAAAGTTTGGAACTTTTATGAATTTTCATTTTTTGTTTCATGTTGTCCTCTATAGAATGGAAAACATTCCCCTACTAGAAACTTACAGAGAGCAATAAAATTAATAGTAAAGAACAAACTACATCTATGATACAAACTCAAAAAGACATGCATCAATATTAATTCACTAGAGATGTGTTATCGTTCTGAAGATTTCAGCCTATTTCACCTGTAGTTTTTAAGGCCTACACAACAGGATTGTGCACATTGTAGCTGTGAAGAATTATATTTCACAAAATGCGTATAAGTACTTTTTTTACATAAGAACAAAATACTGTATTTGACATCAGTGTTACCATACTTGTGTGAACTCTTTAAACAGTGCATTATGCATAAGTAGGAGAGGTGCTGGTCACTCACTCTCCTCCCTTATTGTATTGTATCGTATATTTGTCATCATAGTTATAATGTATACTTTCATTTCTCATGATCTAGGGCTTTTTAATGTGCTTCACAATGTCTTTATAACATATTTGATGGTGCCATGCAGCTGTTTTCCTCATTCAAAGTGTGATTATGCTGTCTGTGGTAATAAATGTTTATGATTTTAGCAAAACCTGCTGTATTAAAAGTGTCATAATGGTAACCATTTCCCCTATCCTTTAACTATAACTCATTATTAAGCTGCATAATGGGATTATACTAAATGGATCCCAATCCATAGTGGCAATGCCCGGTGCTTCTTCCAATTCATACAACAGTAACACCTACAGCTGTGGAAGTGCCCATTTCTAAAATGTAACTGAGGAAATTGGAGAATTAAAAAACAGTTCATTGCTTGGAGAACAGAACACACTATATACTGATGATAGTTGAAGTTGGACCGTGGTAGAATATGGCGGTAATTAGTTTTTGCAAGCAGCATATTAAAAATGTTGCCCCATAGGCTCCACACAGCCATAGGTTTATACAGTGGACTATAAACAAAACAGAGATTTTGCATAGAGATCTCACACACATGCAGTTGACTTTTTCTTACTTCAAACGCCATAAAACGTATGGTCATTCAGAGCCTTTTCGACAGTTATGTGGATCATTGGTGCAGAAATGTGTTTCTCTGATGTGTTTTTGCTAGATTTTGAACGACAAGCAATATCTAAGGGACAAGCATAGTTTGTGTATGGGGTACTGTTGAAAGGACTATTGAAATAGACAATGACTGGGCACAATTTACGAAATAAAAGGTCTGGATATCTTCCTAAGACAAATGTGTCTGCTATGTTTTAGTTATTTTTAGCTTTCAGTCTTTATCCAACTCTTAAAACAAAGATTATAAAAAGGTTATATAAAATCAAGTCTAAATATGGGATTTCATCCAGTAATAATTAATTGATTGCACTAGGATTTGCATGTTAATCCAGTTTATAATTTGTTTTCACACTGTTACCAATGCTGTTAGAATCTGTTTGATGCTAGTTCAATATTACCTTTCCCCAATTTAATCCTGGAAAACAAAAAGCTTTTTTCCCTGTTTGTGCCCTGTCTGTGCACCTTGACAGTGGGTGATGTTTTACCAGAACTTTCTGCTGTAACCCCAATTTAATCCCCAAATGACTTTAATTATCTCACAAGTCATTCTAGAAGGACAATGAGCAACAATGAAAACAGAACATCCATTCATGAGAAATAAACTAATCATCTGTGGAAGAGTATATATTTAAAAAAAAAATTACCAATTATTTGCCCTTTACACTCTCTGAAAGCTCATCAGAAACAGATGTTGGAATATCCCGTCTTTAAAATATCCTCAAAGATGAGTTTTTTTTCCATAGAATATATACAGAATATATCATGTGTTGACAGCTCAGTGGTGGCCTTTGTGTGATTTTTCTCTCATTTATGGTTATGTTATGTTAGATCTGCATACAATAATACAGCTGGTGATTTCAGCATTCAAGATTCTATTATATCTGGAGCTGACAAAAGCTTGTTTACACAGTAATCTCTCCTATAATGAGCTTCAGGCACAGAAGGTGAGGTCATAGTGTAAGTGCACACATGCACACATACAGAATGCAGATGTGTCTTCATGAGTAGGGTGTCTGCTTTAAGTCAGGGCACTTCTCAGCAGGTCCAGTCTGTGAAAACAAACATCCCTTGAGCTTTGAGCTGTGAGCAATTCAGTGATGTAATAACTTTGATCACACAGCGAGGGCAAGGTTTGCTCAAGGGTCAATGGAACACAGAATCCAACCAGTAAATACATTACTCATCTATCTATTTCACACACACAATCGCATACATACACAACAGACACCGGAGGTGAAACATGTCTGTCTCACCCCAAATCTAAACCAGACTAAACTTCCTTTTAGCACTAGTCACTTCCTCTGAGCTGCCACTGCCTAACCCTTCCCACCTGCTTTCTCTTTTCTACAGCAATATGTCATCTTCAGCAAATGTGAGTCGGCCCCTTCGTTATCTGTAGCCAGGAGTAAAATAAATGCTGTTACCTCAAACACATTAAGTGTAATTTCCACACATGTAATTTTGAGCTGACCACACATCCAGCCACTTTCCCCTGATTTTCCGTGTCCAGACTGTGGAAAAAGCTGCAGTGTAGAGGCTTCTGTAACTATGGCACTTGCCAAATACTGAGAATGAGCATGTTCTGGATTTGTCCCCAGATCCCCTCTTAGCTGGATGCAACCAGATTACTTCTACAGGAAGGTGTACATGACGCATCCTAATCAGAAGCTTGAAGCACATCAGCTGGGGCAGGAATTCACTTTCACACTTGGAGGTGCTGAGCCTCCTAACTAGTGCATGTCCCACTTAACACTGCCAAAGTTTCTACAACAGCTGGCCTATAAAATCTTCTGGAAAGGGGCCCAGCTCATCTTCACTGCACATTAAAGTTTATCAAGTCATACAGTATCCCCAATAATGTGATCCAATTTACCACCAGTGGTCATCACTTGATCGCTCTTCCAACCCATTCTCATAGCAAAATGAATAATAGCTACATTGGTCTGCAATGCAAAACACACTAATCTCACAATCACACCTCAAAAATTCTGACACTGCAACTTTTTTCTGGCAGTGAACACAACAGTGGATAACATTCCTTATATATGGATACATTTATACGCAGTTAATGTTAAGGAAAGTCCTTTGGTTCAGTTAAAACATCAATTGAAAACTACAGCACCACACAACAGCAGACACGATGTTCATTTTGTCAGTGTGGAAGTGTTTGTTGATCCCATCCATCCGTCGCAGCCAGAACCTTACTAGTGTCTTTAAGGTCAAAATCATATGCCTTCACTGGCCACTAAATGTTACCTTCCCAATCCACTAGTCTAGTCTAGTTGGTGGCTGTAATTCACCATTTAATTTTTTTGCCAACCTACATAAAACACCAAGAAGAAGAAGAACACAAAGAATGACACTGGGCTGTAATACAAAAATATTGCCATGTCACAATTTTACAAATTACAGACCAACTTAGCCATTATTACATTTTGAAGTGAGACTGGGCTGGCACTTCTCTTTACTGTCCAATATACTGTACATTGTTCAGATCTGATTAAAGATATCATCATTGATGTTTGGCCTGCAGTTATACATGCCCTTGTGAAATACAGTACCTCACTTTGGATTGTTGTTGTGACTAACGCACTCAAAGTTTCTCCTCCTTTGCCATCATGGACATTGATGTCTTCTTATGAAGTCTAAAAATGGATTCCAAGATGGCTGTTCTCTGAACACCTGTTCAACACATAAACAGATAAACAGAGCATCCTCTTGTACTCATGGACAAAAACCACTACATCATACAGCCAGAGACTACCGAGTATTCTCACAATGCTTCGCTCTTCAAATGAAGTGAAAACCCTCCCTATTTAGAAGTCTGGGTCCAAATCAAAACTGCACATGCCCCATCTCCAGAACTCATTCAGGGTCATTTCACTAGGCAATTTGTATAGCTAGGGTTTAGTCCAACAATCCATATGCTTCCACCTATGTCCACTTTGAACAACACTTCCCTGGCTTGTCCCAGGATCCTCCCCAAGATTTGTCTTTTTTGCATCCAGCTTGCTTTCTTGCTTCCCTAAAAAGGGATAAAATAATGTCTTTGCTAGACCACAAAGTAATAGATGTCAGGTTGAATTTATAACTAGTAAAAGTCATTGCAATTGTATTGCGCATGTTGCTATATGTCACCATGTTACCTTATCCTACCTGAAATTTAATTTTACAAATGACCCTCAACTGTATACTTTTGATTGTGTTTCCATAGAAGACGTAGTTACAATCGCTTCCATGGGAGCTCAGTTTCTCCCTGAGGAAAAAAGAAACATTACCTCACCGTCAATATGTTCATGCCAGTGCCTCAGTTTGTCTTGCTGGGCATCCAAATAAAGGAATGACCTATACAAAGACACATACGCACATACATTATTTTTTGTATCTGTTTTTCATGCATTTCTTCCTCTGTTTTTACCTAATTATAAACAGTTGAATGAATATGTTTTTAAAATTTCCTAATCAAGACAGGGCATTACTAAAATTTCTCATTGGATACTAAGACAATAGTTATTTATTTATACCCCATAAATATATGGGGTACAGCCTTCCTACTTGACTCCCTGC